TCCCTACACAGGTAAGACGTACGTGAAAACCACCTGATTCTCTTGGGCTCTGTCTATTCATTTTGGAGCAAGCCCAACAAAGCTCATATAATAACCTACAGCATGTTAACTTTTGTCTGAAGTCTCACAATGAATGTAAATTCTAGATTTATTGTTTTGGTTGAATTCGAGTCAAGTGGTTCTTTGTGTTATTGGAATTTTGTCAAAAATCTCATTCCTCATTCAAATTCTCATTTAATTGTCATTTAAGAGAGCATGTTAATTTAGGTATACTCCATCTTAGAAATACAATTTTCATTTGTAAGTTACTCAAGAAAAAGAGAAAAGGAAAAGTGAAAAGACAGTGGAAGGAAAATAGAAGAGAATGACAACTCACTATAATTCTATATATACACACATGAAAGTAAGTACAAATCTTTCTAGATTTGCTCATTTGAAGACTTGGTTGTTAAGCAAAACAATATGAATAGTCAACAACTCATCATAGTTTTACTTGTAACTTTTTTTACTTTATGAGAGTGCAAAAGCAACACACATCCATTAGAAACTATATTCAAGTACCCTTTAAAGTTTTTTACTTCCAGTACAGTATTCAATAAATTACATGAGGTATTCACATTTTATTATAAAATAGTCTTTGTGTTAGATGAGTTTGCCCAGCCGTAGGCTAATGTGTGTCTTCTGATCATGTTTAAGGTATGCTAGGCTAACCTATGACGTTTGGCAGGTTAGGTATAGCAGATGCATTTTCAACTTGCAGTATTTTCACTTTACAATGGGTTTATCGGGATGTAACCCCATCATAAGTTGAGAAGCATCTGTACTTCAGGGAAATAGAAATTTACTTAAATTATTTATCGTCCAGTGTGCTGTTCGTCCACTCCCAGTCCATAGCCCGCTCCCTTCACCTCTCTAGCTCATAGTCGCTTTCAGATTATAATTGAACGTCACTTCCTCATCACTGCCCTTCAAACTGGGTCAGGATGACATGTCATATATGACTTTCATAACCTTCAACATATTTTATTGTAATTACTTGTTTACCATATGTCTTCTTCACCAACCAATAGTTTGAGAGATTAGGAGCCATGTCTGTTTTGGGTACAAATGTATCAGCACTTTGTGTAGTGCCTAGCACAAAGTAGGTAAGTGCTCAGTAACAATACTTAGTAAGCAAATAAAGCTCTCAAAAACATGATCATCTGTTTTAGTCTATTTGGGTTACTATAACAAAAGTACTATAAACTTGGTGAGTTATAAACAGCATTTATTTCTCACAGTAGTAGTGTTTCTCAAGGCACCAGTAGATTCAGTGTCTGATGATGACCCATTCCTTATAGATGGTGACTTCTTGCTGTGTCCTCATATGGCTAGCTAGCTCGCTGGGGTGTCTTTTATAAAGGCACTAATCCCATTAATTAGGGCAGAGCCATCATGAGCTAATCACCTTCCAAAAGTCCCACCTCCTAATACTATTACCTTGAGGATTAGGTTTTAATCTATAAATGATGGGAGCACACAAACCTTCACACCACAGCATCATCTGTCAACTCTGGATCTATCTTCTATTCCTGAGCAATTACAGCGTTATTTTTTGAATTCATAGAACCAAAAATCATAGTACTTCAGGACCATAAAGATACTTAATGATCTGAATTAAATACTTATATTTAGCAATAGGCGCTTTTTTCCCCAAAACATAATTTTATAAATGCTCTATAATGTCTAAGTGAGGTAAAAGAGAGTTATTGTGGATGAAGCATGGGTTGAGGGAACCAGAACCCTGTCTGTTCTGCCTTGAATTTCCAAGGAAGTGCAGCCACATGTACTTCATACAGCTCCACAGAGCCTTGGGCTCCATGGAATACCATTTGAAAACCACAGAATTGGACTTGCATGTTCACAATATATTAAAAGTACCTAGAAATCAACAAGAAAAAAGACAAATTAATCAACAGAAAAAAAAATATGAAAAGTAAATTCACTGAGGAAGAAATATTGACGGCCAATAAAGACATACAAAGATGATGGGCTTCTCTGCTGATCAAGCAGTGTAGAATAAAACATGAAGGAAAAAGACTTTACCCATAATACTGGCAAAAATGCAAATATTGATATTATAAAGGTGAGAAATCATTGTTATGAAAGTGGAAATTGGGAAGCAATTCCAATTTTAAATTGCAATTGACCTTTGATCCAGAAATACGACTTCCAAGAAGCTAATCTACAGAAATTCCAAACATGTGCACAAAGATAAACATCCTTGAACATATCTGCATTAGGCCGTTCTTGCATTGCTCTAAAGAAATACCTGAGATTGGGTAATTTGTAAGAAAAGAGGTTTAATTGGCTCATAGTTCTACTGTCTATACAGGAAGCACAGCACTGGCATCTGCTTCTGGGAGGTCTCAAGGAGCTTACAATTATGATGGAAGGCAAAGGGGAGGCAGGCATCCCACATGGCAGGAGTGGGAACAAGAAGAAGAGAGTGGGTGGGGATAGGGAGTGCCACACAATTTTACTGAACCAGATCTCACAAGAACTCACTCATTATCTCAAGAATAGCACCAAGCCAGGAAGGATTCACCCTCACGACACAAATACCTCTCGCCAGGCCCCATCTCCAACACTGGGGATTACATCTCAACATGAGATTTGGAGGGCACGTCCAAATGATAACAATATCTTTGTCCATTATTTTTATTTTAAAAAATTAGAAACAACATCAATACTATCTGTGGAAGAAGATTTAAATTAATTATAACTTTAATACTATGAACACTATAATTTTTTTGTAGATGATAAATAATAATAATAATAGGGATAAAAGTAATAGTTGATGTAACAGGATGTTAAAGTGGAAGTTTTAACCAAGGCACCAAAATGCAGTAAATATACCATACCAAAGTAAAATATCAATCTAATTTTCAATGAAAATAATCCAGGAACCAGTTATTGAACTCTTAAGCATCTTGTTCCATTTGAAGACAAAAAAGAATCAATTCATGGGAAATTAATAGGATTCCAGAAATACTTCTTTGCCAAAAGCTGCTGATATACTATGAGTACCGTCAAGGTGGAAGGGTTCAGGGTGCTCCTTGTATATCCAAGTTAAGGGAGAGGGACTCTGGTGAGACTACTCAGAGAATGAAATAAGCACCCACTGAAGTTGGAAGAGAAGGAGGATACAGTGCACTGTATCTGATCCCATCTGAGAAATCTATGAGGAGAGGTATGCTGTGTAGCTACTGATGAATGAGTTGAAGAAGTGTCTGTGTTGGGGGTGGCCTGCACTCCCAGAGTTTATGGAGACGAGAAGGCCTGAGTAATTTCATGGGCCAGGTGTGGACCATGGGGGAGAGACAACCAGCCTGAGGTCTTCTTGGGACCTGTCCAACTGGGCCAACGGAGAGGGTGGACAGGTCTCAGCAGAGAGAAGCCAATGGTAGCAACATATTCCTGGGGACCGCAGAATAGGAAGGCAGCCAGTTGGAAGCAAACTCATCATTCTTGCCGAGGGAAATACAGGTGGGAAGTCCCAAGGGGTTGGAGGATATACCAAAGAACCCATGCAAACATCCATAAGAGAAAGAGCCTCTTGTTAGAGCTGCCAGATTCAGAAAGCACAAAACTGGTCAATCATGAAATACTTTCCTACCCACTTCTGCTACTGCTTCCCTCTGTCTGAACACTGAAAGTGTCAGAGACCATAGAAGATACCAGAAGATATGCAGTAGGATAAGATGGAGAAATAACACAGAAAAAGAATAACTAGAACCCAATCCACCTTCCCCAAGAGTGGGTTTCCCAACAACTGCAGGTTCTAGCTGAATAGGGGAGAGGTAAAAGGCTTAATTGTAAATCAAGTTCAAAGTTTTGTTTCTCATCTGGTCTTGGATATTCTGATTTTTGAATTGACACTGTGCTTGCCACTTAAGGTGACTTTGTGACTTTTCATTATCTAAGGATGTTCAGAAGATTTGTGGGACTCCCAGAGCTTCTATCCAGGAGCAGGGGCAAAGAATTCTCCACTGAATAAAGCTTAAAGGGTCAGGAGATAATAAACACTTGCCTGATGATGCTAGCCCTGCATGCTCCACGTACCAATGATCCATTAACATTGCCAAGCACAGTGCTGAACACATTGTTGCATTATATCAGTTAAACTACAGATGCTGCCATAGACAGAAAGCACCAAATAAAGCACATTGCAAAAGACTCCCATTTGAATGTTTCCGTTTGAATGTGTATATTTGAAGATGTCCAGAGAAACAATGGGAAGGTGTGTTAGTTTCTTTCTCTAAAGAAACAGAAACAGGATGTGTATATATATGGAGAGAGATTTATTTTAAGGATTGACTCATACGATTGTAAGGCTTGGAAAGTTCAAAATCTGATGGAGAGGCTGGCAGGCTGGAGAGCCAGGCCAGAACTGCAATTCCAGACCAAAGGCCACCTGCAGACAGAATTCCAGAAGGTGGTGGAATCTTGCGTGGTCAGTATTTGTTCTCTTGAGGACTTCAGCTGATTGCATGAAGCCTACTCACTTTACGAAGGGCTTTATTTATTTATTTATTTATTTTTGGAGAAAATAAGCTTTATTATAATGATTTGAGATTTTGTGCATGGTAAAGAAATACACATGAATCGTATTTCTCCTACGTTTCATGACAGAATTAATTTAAAGTTTCATTGTAGACCAAAGCATCCCAAAAACAGTGGTACTTTTTTTTTTTTTTTTTGAGACGGAGTCTTGCCCTAGAGTGCAGAGGCACGATCTCGGCTCAATGCAACCTTTGCCTCCCAAGTTCGAGGGGTTCTCCTACCTCAGCCTCCCGAGTAGCTGGACTACAGGCACGAGCCACCATGCCCGGTTAATTTTTCTATCTTTAGTAGAGATGAAGTTTCATATGTTGGCCAGGTTGTTCTCAAATTCCTGACCTCAAGTGATCTGCCCACCTCAGCCTCCCAAAGTGCTGGGATTACAGGCGTGAGCCACCGCGCCCAGCCCCACAGTCTCTTTTTAATGAGTTTGCAGATGCCAGATGATTCCTGCTCTGGTGTTGGCGCCATCAGGGACAGTGAGCTGGAGCTTTCCATCTGCGAGGGCAGCATGGGGAGGGGCAGGTGCAGGAATTCCAGCATGTTGCTCTGCTTGCTCCTCTTCATTCCCTTCATGTCCAGTATCTTCCAGAAGCCTTCTGTGTTGCAGTCTGTGAAGAGTTTGATGTAGTTGTCAACAAACACCACCAACAGTTCATGAGGGGCCGTCACTACCTACCAAGGAGGAGACAAGAGCAGGCCCGCCAAGGAAAACTCACAGTTGCAGTTCACCAATTTAAATGCTAATCTCATCCCCAAAAAACACCTTTACAGAAAACATCCACAATAGTGTTTAACCAAGTATCTGGGCACCAGGGTCCAGTTAAGTTGACACATACAATTAACCATCCTGGAAGGATACACACTAAACTATGGACAGTAAGTGGGTATCTTTGGGGCAGGGAGAGAAAGTGAAAGGATGGCTAGGCGTGGTGGTGCACCTGTGGTCTCAGCTACTCGGGAGGCTGAGGTGGGAGGATCACTTGAGCCCAGGTGGTTGAAGTCTCAGTGAGCCGTAATCGCACCACTGCACTCCAGCCTAGGTGACAGAGCAAGACCCCATCTCAAAAAAATAAAATAAATAGAATAACAAAAATGAAAGTAAACGTGAAAGGAAATTAGGTGTACTTTTCACTTCTTGCTGTCTCTCTCAGAATACATTATTCACCCTGAGACCTGAGGAGCGGGGAAGTGTACTACTCCTGCTGCATGATAGACAGCCCTACCCTGACCCTTCCCCAGCCTCTCTCTGACACTTTTCTAGCCAGGCTTCTCTGCACAAGGCCAGGAGCTTTCAGTGTCAACAGCACATGCTTACCCTGAGTCCCTGGCCACAATATTAGACTGTGTTTCAGGCACCTGGGACTCTGGAATGCCCTGTCCAGGGTCCCAGAGCCTGTGCATGGTGCCTTCTCAAGTCAACCCTCTCAAGGGCAGCTGCACCCCCACCCGTGTGCACACCCCCAGCCCTAAGAAGTGACAAGGGGCTGATGTTTGTGGGGCTGAAGTCCGGGGGAGTTGAGGATAGAGCTGGATGTGCAGACTGGGTTGCCACACATGTGTGCCCAAGGCCATTGCAGTGGTAAGGGAAGATGAGGTGAGGTCATAGGCCAGGGCCAGCTCTCTCTACCATGCCATATTTTGATGAAGAACTCTGGAGAGTCTAAGAATTCTTCATTTAAATCCCATTTTCCAATTCACTAGGACTGTATATTTGTCAAGGTGAAAGGATATGTTGAGAAAATATAATTTTAAACAAAATCTTCTTCCAACCCAGAAATCCTCTCCACAAAGGTAGTAGAGAAAATAGTTTTATACTGAATAAACTATTAAACCAAAATGTGATGCACATCACAGGCAATCCACTAAGGAATTACAAAGACAGAAAGAAATTCCAGCCTTTAATATAGCCAAGAAGATGCAATCCATTATATACCTTTTCCCAAGATAAACAAAAATTAGTTCTCAAATAATAGGATTTGATAGCACCATTTATAACACATGGTTCATCCTAAATTCACCTGGTAATTGGAGTAACCATCTGTATTAGTTAAATGATTTTATACAAAGGAAAAATAAGCTTCTCCTATCTTTATGACAGAAGGTAATGTTGCAAGTTGTCAGGGGGAGGCAGTCACCAAAGTTAGGCTCCTACCGTCCATCAGAAACTGAGAGATGGGGTGCTATCTCCCTCAATGATTATATTCTAAAGCAATGGCTGCCGGGTCCTTGAGAAAGACATTCCTGGGTCACAAAGACAGCAGAAGACTTATTTAGCTCTAAAAACATTTACATACATGTCAAAGAGACAGGGAAATAACTTACAAGAACACATTTTCCAAAGTAAATACTCTAAGTGAAGGAAGGTAATTTCTTCCCTTATTTTTAACAAGAATTAAGCCTCTTATGTTTAATATTTACTTGCCCTTACAGATAGGACATATTTTACTTGATAGTTTGTTACCTTATCTTGTAAAATGTAGATATGTAGATATGCTATATGTGGATCTCTATTTGCTTTCTTGACAGTACCTGCAAATGTTAGAAGCTGGCTTTTTCTTTTCTAAAAACAGTGATATATTTGATAATTCCAAAATGATTTTTAAAATTTTGTTTTAAAGGAACAGATACACATTAGCTATTTTTTAAAAACAGTCATTTGTTTTCACTGTTAATTCAGTTGACTTTCTCCTATCGCCCTATGGGTTCATATTTTAAATGTGCTTTGCATATGCACAAAGAAGGTACGAATCATGTTAGAAACTGCTGGCAATCTCTATTATTCTTCAGGAAGGCTGCTTTAATGGGTCTGCCTAAGCAAATACTAGTTAATTTTCCTCTTAATATGATATTGCAGGTGTCACCCTTTGATACTGAAAATTTTATTTTAAAATGTGTCCTTCGGGTAAAGAAGCTAGTTTGAGCACGCAGTAACCCAAAGCTAACTACTGAACATGTAGTAACAAGATTGCAAAAATGGAAACCAGGAAATCTAAGTTCTACTACCAATCTTGCCACTAACCATTAGTGTGTGACCTTCAATTATGGTTTCTTCTGGAGTCTCAGTGTCTTCATCTGTAAAATCAAACAAGTGGAATAGAGGTTCCTTCAGACACAAAATTTTCTTGGCATCTTTTCAGATATCTTTTCTCCTTCTCACTCCCTAGTCTCACTTGTTTTTGTTTTTTGGTTCATTTTCACCATCTCTATGTGGCCTATATCTGCGAGGATATAGGGTGAGTGAACAGACCTTTAGCTCCAAACAATCGGTAATTGAACTCAAATCTCCACCCAAAGAGTTCAAGACATTCTATTTCTGTGCAGAAAATAAAACAGAAAACCAGCAGTAAGTCAAGGTCTCCCTTGTATTTCTTCTTCTTTATCAGTCCTGACAAGGTCTTCTTAGCAAACCCTCATCCTTATTTTCCACCTCCAATTCTACATCTTCAGTTAAATCCCTCCCTTCCTTTGCAGTTTCCATAGTTAATATTCTCCAGGATTTGTTCTTTTTCAATGCATCCTCCTTAGATGACTCTTCTAGAAGTTTTTTTTTTTTTTTCAGATGGAAATATAGTCCAAAATTCTTCCCAAGGCAGTGGCTGACTCAGGCTTCAACACAAAAAAATCCACTATCACTATAATCGGCTAATACAATGTATTAATTCACAGACTTGCGTTTTACCTCTTTTCACATAACTCTTATTGCTATGTCCATCTGAATTTGGTTGCTTGTTCGCTTTCTTACAATCCATGGAAGGATGTAGGACTTAGCTATTTAATTCACAATATGTTCAATATGCAGCTTGTCATTCACACATGGGCTCTTCATTCATAATGATTCTTTAATTTATTGCCTCAAGTGATTCCATATCCTTATTCTTGCTCTAATCACTGAAATATGGGTTGAGTTTCTTTCTTTCTTTTTTTTTTTCATTATTTTCTTAACCTGTTTTTATCTAAGGAGTATAGTTCTGAAGGGTGTACAGGAAGCATGGTGCTGGCATCTCTTCTGGTGAGGCCTCAGGAAGCTTCCAATCATGGTAGAGGGCGAAGCGGGAGCAGTCACATCAAATGGCGAGAGCAGGAGCAAGGGAGAACAGCTAGCTATTTATTTTATAGGGGAGGAACCTGAGGCTAGAAATCACTGAGCAACTTGCTCAGGGTCACCCAGGAAGTTAGCGAAAGAATTGCAGCAAGAACCTAGTCCTCCTGATAAAGCTTGGCTCTCTTTCCATTTACACTGCTTCCCATTCACTCGGGTTGTTTACTATAATTTCAGGCAAGCCTGACTTATCTCAACAAGTCTTGCTGTGGTCTAGGAGTTAAACAGCAGCAAGGATCTCAAAGAAAACTGAATGTAGAATTTGGATACTTGAAACTTGGGGAAAAAACACATTTTTTTAGTACATAATAATTGTGTAAGAAGTTAGTCTTCAATCAACATGTCAGAAGATGTCATTTTGCACTTCCAGAGTTAAAGATTTTTTACTGCCATGACCCCTCCCTGCTCCCCATGCCAGCTTCCAGATTCCTATAAAGCCCTAGCACCTCACATTCCCCCAGCCACTTCTAACTCTGCCTTCCTCTTCCTCTAGTTCTCCACTTCCCTCACTCTGCACCTCCCGGGTTTTCCTCTGCTCCACACCAAGCCAAACATGAAACTCATCCTCATATTCAAACCAGGCTTTGTGCATAGCAGACTTTACTGAGGCTGCCTTTTCCCCTGGGATCAGCTCCCCTTCCTATTTCTCTTTGCCCTGCTCTCTCTCTCTCTCTCTCTCTCTCACACACACACACACACACACACACACACACCTCCTCCTACCTTCCTGAGTTTCTGTTCTCTAGCCCCCTCCTCTCACACTCAATTCTTTTATTTCATTATGCAAAGCAATTTAGGTTCTTCCCACAACTCAGCTGCTACCTTTGAGTATCCCAGGCTTTGCAAGGCCTGCTCCGGGGCCCACACTTGAACAGCATGAAAGAAAGGATAAAAACTTTATAATTTCCATTTTTTTCTTTCTCCCAGCAGTGAAAGGGCATAGGATAGAGATTCATTTTCACACTGTATCAATTCAGATGATTTCGCCTGTAAGTAATAGGAAACCAAAATCAAACTGTTTTAAACACAAAGAGATTATGGAAGGAGTTTATAGAGTTTGGGGGGTTTTGGAATTGACTTCAGAACACAAGCTGTCTCTCTTTTTCGCTCTGTCATCCTCAGCTTACTGGCTGTCCTGAGAGCTGTCCCTTTATGGTCAGAATATAACTTTCATTGTTCCAGAAATCAGTGTAGACACAACAATACCAGGCAGAAAAACACAGAAATGTCCTCCCTTGAGTCTCTTTTTATCTGTAAGGGAAGGCCATTCAGTATCTCATTGACTGTAACTGGGCCCCGTGTATCCCCCTAAAATAGTTTGGCAAAAGAATGGAATTACTAAGAATGGTTTAGACCAATCATGACTCACTTCCAGGACTGAGAAGGAGATGTTTTTTCCTGAGCACATTGGTTATGGCTGTCTATTATTATACAACAAAGCGTCAACGGTAGAGGGTCGTAACTGCAAGTTGTCCAGGTTCTTGGTGTTTTGAACAACGAATTGGACAAAACGTCCAGGAAAGCAAAGAAAGAATGAGGCAACAAAAGAACGAAAGCAGGGATTTACTGAAAACAAAAGTACACTCCACAGTGTGGGAGCTGGCCCAGCAGTGGCTCAAGGGCCCCTAAACAGAATCTTCTCAGGTCCAAATATCCCCTAGAGGTTTCCCATTAGCCACTTCATGCTCACCTCGTGGAAACGAAGTGCTGGCCTACAATTGGTCTGATGGGTTGCCAAAAGCAACCAATCAAAGGCCGAAGTGGAGTTACAAAGGTCACACTCCTGTGCAAACATCTGATTGGTTGCAAAAAAGTAACCAATCAGAGACTAAGGTGAAGTTACCAAGTTGCGGAAAAAGACTCGGCCAGCAATCAGTCTGATTGGTCGCGGACAGCCAATTTCCCATCTGGAAAAGGTGAGGGGTTTGCAAAGGGAGTAGCCTCTGGTCCTTTTGTTACGTAGTCATGGAAAGTTAGGGTTTTCCTTTCAATTTAGCTCCAGGAAGTCGGCATGAAACAGCCTTAAGTTCCCTACCTCCAGATCCTATTCTCCAGCCTCGAAACCACCCAAACATTTAGTGCCTTAAAGCAATTTACTATGATCTCTCATAGTTTTGTGAGTTACCTAGGCTCAGCTGGGCATTTCTGGGCTCCCTTCTGTGGCTGCCATCAGATGACTGGGGCTGGAGTCTTTTGTAGGCTCGGCTGGGCTGGCTGTTCCCCAAGATGGCCTCCTTGCTCACACATCTAGTCCTTCAGTGCCTGTGCACGCAGCCTCTCTCTTGAGTGGAGTGGTCTAACCTTCTTACCAGACAGCTCACGGCTCCCAAATACAGGAAGCAGAAACTCCATTCCTCTTGAATGCCAAGCCTGGAGCTGGCTATACTCTCTCATGCCATATACTTCTGCAGTGTTCTGTAGGTCAAACCCAGTCCAGCTCAGATTCTAGAGACTCCGCTCCTCAACGGGGAAGTACAGGGAGGGAAGGAATTCATGGCAGCCGTCTTTGGAGTCAGGTTACTGTAGGATTGCTGACCGACATTCAAATAAAATCAGCATCCTGTTGGACAAGGAAAGAGCAGAGAAATAGCTATCAAGCAAGCAACCACTTTAGCTTTTGTTTTTGCAAATTGTGTCTGAAGAGATGATGCAGGTTCGTAATCCGGCCTAATCATGGGGCCTTCCAGTGAATTTCAGCCAGAATAGCCTTCCTTGAGAGACCCCTGCAGACTCCTTTGACTTGTTCAATTGCTCACTTGGTTTTAGCTACCATATATTTTTTTAAATCATAAAGTATTTTAGGGCCAGGTGAGGTGGCTCACGCCTGTAATCCCAGCACTTTGGAAGGCAGAGACAGGCAAATCACATGAGGTCAGGAGTTTGAAACCAGCCTGGCCAATGTGATGAAGCACTGTCTCTACTAAAAATACAAAAATTAGCCAGACATGGCGGCGTGTGCCTGTAATTCCAGCTACTCAGGAGGCTGAGGCAGGGGAATCACTAGAATCCAGGAGGCAGAGGTGGCAGTGAGCCAAGATCACGTCATTACACTCCAGCCTGGGCAACAAGAGTGAAATCCCATCTCAAAAAAAAATTTTTTTTTAAATAATAAATATATATATATATATATGCTGGCAGAAATTCAAAGGCCATTTTATGCAACAAACCATTTTACAGATTCAGAGACAGCGATTCAGGGAAATGGTATGCTCTGTCCAAGGTAACAAAAAATGGCAGAGACAGGACAGTCTAAGCCTCCGGCACTAAGCCTCCAGCATTTCTCAGTCTCCCATTCTACCTCCACAATGTAGAGTTCAAATTCACAGCTAAGTAATAGAGCACTGGATTAGGAGTAAGAGACTATGTTCTATGTCTAGCTTTATGTGATATATACTGTTAGCAGCCCCTCAATATTCGGGCTCCCCTTTCCCACAGTAAAAAGACCTCCCAATTTTATTGAGAGCATGTGCTTAACTAAATACTGCCTTTCCCAAACATCCTTGCAGCAAGGTACAATTGTGTAACAAAGTTCTGGCCAATATGACTTAAGCACAAGTGTGTGACTTTCAGGAAATCTCTTTACAAGCCAGCGTCCACCCTTGTCCTGTTTGTTCCCCCTCTTGCCTTTCCTCTATCCTAATGCCTGACTCCACTGTGAGACAAAGAGCTGGAGAAGCCATTGTGATCACACACACAATGAAAGAAACAAGGCCTGAACACTCCTCACAATTGCCCACAAATGATTCTCCCTCTCAGCTTCCACAATCCCCAGGTACAGCATTACTGCCCTGCCCAACACAAAACTACCCCTAACTTTTGCATCCTCAGCTCCCTTATTTCTGTCCTCAGTCATCAAATCCTTCACCATGTCTTTCTGCTTCTCTCATCATTGCATCCTTAGGTGCTTTCCTCCAGGACTGACTTGCCTGAGCAGCTATCTGATTAGTACTGATAGTGAGAGCAGCAACTAAAGCTACTCACCAACCTCCTAAGGTGACACTTTGCTCACTGCCTTGGCTGTATTCTTTGCTTTTGTCAGTCCTTGTTCATGGCGTCCTCTGGGGCAATGCGTCTTACAAGGCAAGAAAGAAATGGCAAGGGTAGGACCTTCCACCAATGAATGCAGGGTTAGTCTGCCGTTCATTCATTCATTCCCTCAGCAAACTTAAGTTACGTGCTTGCTGTGTGCCAGGACCTGCGCTGATACCAGAGATAGAAAGACATGGCCCCTGCACTCAAGGACCACCTCTTCCAGAGGAGAAGACAGACATGTATAAATAGAAACCAGAAACAAACAATTAGATGAAAATGTATTTTCAAGGAGAAAGTCCTAAAGCCAAGTTTCTGTTTGCCATTCATGGAAGAATAATGCAAACACCACCCGGAGTCTCCGAGGCCCAGCCTCCACATTCTGGAGAGTGTCCCATAGAGCCCATGCAATAACCTACAGCATGCTAACTTCTGTTGTAATCTCTTAGTGGTTTCAAAATGCCCATCTATCGTTTTAGCTCAATGGGATTTGGGTGATTACATTCCTTCCAGCTCTAAATTTCTGTTCTGTGAAATACATAACTAATGACAATTATGGTTACCCAGACACATATACATGAGTGCTTAGAGGTGCTTAGAGTGATAGAAATGTCTGGAGATGAGCAAGTTAATCTAGGAGGGTTTAACAGAGGAACTACCCGCATAGGCATTCCAGTAGGAATGAGAGTGCCTTCCTGTCGATGAGAGTTCCAAGTGAATAACAGCCAGAAGCAGAACCCCAGCTTGTGCTTAATACAAGAATTTCCACATGTATGTTTCATTAGAAAATAAGATCGCACTACTTAATAAAATGTTATAATTTCATTGCATATTTACTTTCTATGCCCCCACCTGTTTCCAAAAATGAATTTGAGACCTCTATGCAATAGGAGGATTTTGGAAAAGATAAGAGAACAAGAGTCTTTTGCAGAAAAATAAATTAGAGTGACAGAATTGATCAGAACATTTACCTCTGAGCTTTCTGGTGGCTAAGACAAAATGCAAAACATCTTGGGTTACAGAGTTCTCATTACCTGGTAAAAAGAAGCACATCAGTTTATCAGGATCTCTTTTTAAATTTTGAGGAGAATTTATTGTATAGATCTTTACAAATGGGACAATGAACAATTTTAGCAGAATCTACTTAAGAGCAGATTTACGAATATGACATACCTTACAGCAATGCTCAGTAAAACACCAACATATACAATCAAAATATACTCCATTTAGAACTACTTAATAGAACGTTGCTGTGAACTATAGAAACCTACTTTTAGAAGGAATGTAGGTCCTGACCTGGGACTGTTTTGGAAAATTGAATGTCCTAAGCTTAACTGCCGACCCAGCCGAGCTGTCGCTTTGCACAGATACACTTCTGTGTCACCTAGGACTGTGCAACAGGACTGAGGGGTTCTTGGGGAATTCCCAGCCAACACTTGCTGACCACCTGACCAAAGCAAGACAAACTCAGTCTCACACAGAATTCTCCAACAACAGTCTGCATTCTCAGCTGCCTCAATCTGAACTCTGAGCACCCTGTCTAACCTCCGCTAAAAGCCATCGGCAACACTGAATACCCTTCCCAAACAGACCAGGTTCTGCAATGCCAGATGGCAGACCAGGGCTGCTCATGTGTCTTTGTTCTCTCTCTAAAAGTTTGAGTGTGTGGATTTCTCTAGTCTCCTCCATGTCTGCTGGTTTGTCCCTTGGATAGCTCAGGCTCAGTGCAACCAACTCTCATCAACAAATGTCTATCCAGGGGCTACCTGGCTTCTCACCCCTAATGAGTAGCAGTGATCAGCACCCAAAGCCATTCAAAGAGGAGTGATTTCAGAGACCAAAAGTGGACCTTCCTGAGCAAGACAGGACTCTACAATCCTTTCCAAACTTGGTTTCCCAAAAGTTTATGGAGAATCTACAACCCACTCTAAAATTACTCTAAAATCTCCAGATTTCTCTAGATCCACAAAGCAGATTCAGAGAGCCCGAGAGGGTTTTAAGCTTCTTTTTCCCAAGTCACTCCTTGCCTCAAAAATCCAAAGTGTAGCCAGCAGAGGAGTGCAGGCTGGAAGGTGGATACACATCTCTATTCCTTTACACATGCCTCTTCCACTTGCATGGACCTGCCTCTCTTTTGTTCCTCTGTCAAACTTCTATTCATCCTTCAAAACCCGGGTCAGGCAGGTCTGGAAAAATTTTCCTGACAGCACCCTCTCTCCATGAGAGTAAATCACCTACAGCTCTGAACTATTTCTTTACTTCACATAGACTGTATTATTGCCGGTATCATTTCACGTATTTGTTTCCTGTGCTCAGCTTGAAACTCCATGAGGCAGAGATTTTTACTGCTGTTTGTAATCTTCAACCCTAGCAGAGGGCTTACCATTTTCTAATGGCTTAATTAGGGTTTGTTGAACTATCTGAACAAGAGCTTTAAGTGTGATTAAAAATTCCAAATATTACACTCGGGATTTGCCAGGCTCCCCAGATGGCCTTGGAAGGTCTACATACTTCCAAAGCTGTCTGCCAGATTTCAAATTAGATTAAGAGTTGTTAGAGTTAATCTTTTAGAGTTCAAGACTTATTCCTGGTGATAAGTTGAAATAGAGAGGAATTGTGTGCTCAGTGATGTTACGAAACACATAGAAGGAAAATATTTTGAAATATTTATTTCTGTTGTTCCTTGCTTCTCCCCATTCCCACCCCAAACCCACAGAATTCCTCCATATACACACCGAGAGCCTCTTTCCTCCTCGGCTCATGGAAATAATCAGAAGTCTCTCACTAGGAACCAGAACGAAAAGCTTGAGGCTCTTGACTATTCGGAGTAAAGGGGAATTTACTCACCTAATTCCAAGGAGAAAGACTGAAATGCATACTTGCAAGGTGAAATTTCCTGTTCTTAGAAATTAAAAAAAAGTTGCCTTCCCAGCTGGGAAAGGAAGGAAAAAAAAAAAAAAGAGGAAGAGACTCTGCTGGGAGTGTTTAAGAAGAAAACAGCAGAGCCAGCAGCCTGAGCCCACCCTCTGGCTCCTGTGTGCAAGGACCTCAAGCTGACAGCAGCCAACCCATCGCCCAGGCACTCCCTGGGTGGGTGTGACTCTCACACGGGCATCAGAATTATTCCTACCCCCACTTTCCCTACCCATCCTCCTACACAGCCCTCATCCCGCAATGGCCCAGGACACTAGTAAGCTCCTCTCAGAATGTAGAGTGAATGACATCTCCTCCAGGGGCATGGCAGGAAGGGAAAGCTCTCTAACAAGCAGAAAGCATATGGAATCATTTTGAAATCAGCCACCCATCAGCACAGCAGTGGAACATAGCATCCCCATCACAACAGCCTTGTAATTGGGCAATGTTCTGAAATGTGGAAGCTTCCAGGTTAGACATCAGGCAACGCAGGTGCTGACGTTCCACTGGTCCCCACAGGACTCTGGCACAGTGATCTATGGTGAGGAGGGAGTGTTGTGTCTGCCTTTAGACAACACAGTTACCCTGTTTTTCTGTTTGGGAGGGGGTCCTCCAGATCACATTATCCAGCTCCAGCGAATACCCACAAGTATTAGCATTTTTAATACTGGGGGCTCCCTTAAAAAAAAAGTGCTTAAAGTTAAAATCTAACCTCAAATATACATTTTCTTACTTGGTGACTGAGGTGTGAAATGGAATCATGTGGGATAAGGAAGTGGCAGAGTAGAACAAAGAAACAATACTAACAACACGGAAATTAGTGTTTCCCGAGCTCTGGGAAGCACATGTTTGAGAAAGTTAATTCCCTAGGAAGTGCTTGCTTCTATGCCGTAGTTTTTTCTGTTCTACTCTACCACTTCCGTATCCCATGTGATTCTGTTTCATGGCTCAGTCACTGAAAAGAAAATGTATATTTTAATTTTGAAGTGCGAATTCTGAAACACGTTTGAAGTATGCGTTAGTGCAACAAAGCTGAATCCCTAAGCCTAACAGATCAGCAACAGAGGTAAGACACTTGAAAGGAAAGTCGAGAGCTCAAAAAGTTGATTCAGCAAGAAAATTTTGGATGACACTAGGTGGCGAGAAGTAAATAAGTGGCAAACTAAACTACTGTTGCTCAAAATCAGGTAAAAACTAAGGCCCCCCCAAAAAATAATTCAGGCACCTCTAGAAGGCAAGTGGTAGCAATTCACAGGAGAAAAAAAGGGTTTATTTTTACACTGATTTCTCTGAAAGAGAAGCACTGCAATGGATGAGCTCAATTAAAAGAATTCTAATATTAATCACTTCACTTGCAAAGAAGAATAAATCCAAAAGACAGGTGTGTACAATAGGTTATTTTTGTTTTTTTAATCAGAAGTACAGTATTTTAAGTGACCAGTCACATTTTTTAATGGCGAAGAAGGCTATAATTGTTTTACCAAGATAGTTATTCAATAATTCTTGCGCTATTTACCATTATAGAGAAACTCTTTGGAGACAGGGAATTGATGGTTGTAGAGACAAAAGACCTGCAGAAGTTCCAGCACAAAAATGCTCCTTTGTCCAGCTGACAGTTCCACCAAAGTCAATGACTATCTGGGGCTTGAATGTCACTCGCTATTTATGTTTTTTTAATTTATTTATTATCGTTTTCTTTACTTTTTAGGAAAAGAAAATCAAATGATTGTATCCTGGGAGGCAAATTTTTATCTTAGCAGGAAACAGCTTCATGCTTATATGTTATCCCAACAATAATAACATTTGCATTACCCAAGCAGCCCCCTCCTCAGCTCTACAATAAAAATCTCTTCCCATGACTCCTGAGATCATCATCAGCCTTCAGTTTATTTACTGCAGGAGAGGAGAAAGAACGTTGATCTCTCAAGCCCTCACTGCACTTCTGAGGGATCTCAAGATTCCCAAACTTGATCTGATGATAAATATATATATGTGTGTGTGTATATATATCTTACAATGTTGTATATGGAAAGTCATGTTTACATAAAAGGCCTGAATATTAGAGACTCACAAAAACAAAGGCAAGAGTGAAGAAGAGAAGTCGTGAAATAAAGAGACAAAGAATCTCTGATAGCAATAGACCAGCTGTTCCTCAAAAAAAGACTTCAGTCAATAGCACATGTTTGTGGATTTTTTCAGAAACTAGTTCCATTATCTATTAAACCTCTCCTGAACTTTTCAGTGGTCATTTTTCACTTCTTCCTATTACTCAAGACAAAGTGAGACAAATAGCCTAAACAGAAAAAAAAATCTATTAGCAACACTTACTAATAAAATCAAGAACATAGAACTTTTCTCTTAAAAATGAACTATAAATTTTTCAGATCCTGACTTCAGCCATTTATTATTTTTATTTAAGAACAAAGTGCACAGAGTCTGAAGAATGCACATATGTGTACAAATGGCTCAGGAACCACATATATAAATTCAGAGATTAAATCCCTTTAGTGTTTCATGTACTTGGGCTCATGTAAGTTAATAAATTTTGAAGTTATAGGTTTCTAGGGCAACAAGAATTTTCTGACTCTCTCAGAGTGAATATTTTATATTTTGAAAAATATATAAGCAAACCCAAATTGAGAGACATTCTACAAAATAACTGATTTATACTCTTCAAAAATGTCAAGGTCATGACAAAGACAGACTGGGGACTGTTCCAGATTGAAGGAGACTAAAGCGACTTGACAGTTGAATTCAATGCATCATCTGGGATTTTTCTCTTGATGTAAAAGGACATTATCGAGAAAATTAGCAAAATTGAGTAAGGTAGATAAGACAATAGTATTATATCTGTGCTCATGTTCTGATTTTGGTTATAGCACTGTGGTTATGTAATAGAATGTCTTTGAATTAGCAAAGGTATAGATGTATTTAAAGGTATAGCAGCATCATGTCTGCAACTTACTCTTCAGAAAACAGTTTAAAAAAAAGATTAAATGGACACACACACACAGACTGGGAGGAGCAGTAAAGCAAATGTGGTATAATATAAAAATCTAGAGACTCAAAGTGAAGGATATATGGAAATTCTTTGTACTATGCTTGCAAGGTTCCTGTAACT